TTCGAATCTTCATTGGAAGTGGAATGTATGTCTTCTAAATTCAGTGAATCAATACATATAGGACTTTAATGATTAAAACAAGCAGACATTGAGATTAATTGAAATAAATGTGGCAGTCATATCTTTTTATTGATCATTCATCAGTGGAGAGTTAGTTGGCAAAGACATCGAGATCAATTGCAAAATATCCAGACACTATTAACTTGAAGCTTCGTTTGTTAGAGAAACAGTTTGAGTAGTCTTAAGTACCATGATTCTTACGCATAATCAACATGCTTTCAGCAATTGTAGGTACATGTAAAAAGAAAGAGACGATGGGTTACAATACAAGATGAATATGAGTAAAACTTTATATGTGGTTAACAAGAAAAACAACATTAAATATGATAAAAACTAAAAAACAACAATAGATAAGATAAACAGTTGAAAAACATGAATGAAATTAAAGGACATTCAAATGGAGAATATATGGAGCATAAATGAAACACCAAATATAAGAGAAACACAAGTACATAAGTACAGAATAAATGTATATAATAAGGTCTCGTTTTAAACAAGATGAATTTATATGCAACTATTAATTAAAAAAGCATATGGAGAGTAATCGCACAAAAAAGATGATCAAAGAACAAATATGAAGTAGAAAAAACATAAACATGCGTTGGAGAGTAAAAATAAAGAAGAGAAACATTGAATTACAATTTGGAGGTCAGAATGTGAATTAAAACTTGAAGATGACGAAATTGATACAAAATAAAGTATAAACGAATTTCATTTATACACCAACACATCAAATTGTAAAGTATTTTTTTAAATAAGTTAAGAATAAAACTTACCAAAAACTGCTGAAAATTTGTGAAGCGTATGAAGGCCGATGAACGACTAAATGACGCTTCTGAACAACTAGTGGAGCATACGAGAACGATTTAAACCGGAGAAGTGAGATAGGATGATTACAAAGACGAAGAAAGTGAGATCAAATGATTAAAAAGACGAAGTGCGAAGGAAGAAGAACGAGCGTTGGAGAAGAGAGATCGTTGTGGACGTTACTCATCTTTAATACTCTTTCTCAAGTGGAGGGTAAAAATGGGAATTAAAAATAAAGTTTCTTAAAATAGAAGGATTTAAGTATTACGGATGCAAAAAAACTAAAGAAGTCCTACTTTTATAAAATTTGTATGAATTGGTCTCACCCGCATCAATTTTCTCATTGTTTAAAGTTAGATTTGGTCTACCAAAGGACATGAGTGATGGGTGCAACTGTGCAAGTGTAATAATTATAAAAGATACATATCTAGTCTAATGTCATTCGACTTCAAAGTTTTAAGTAAGACTGCTTTCTGTTTTTGGAAAAGGATCAAATAGGTCATCGAATTTACATAAAAAGGTCAAATAAGATCTTATATAGGAGACTTTGTCCAGCCGTCGTCATTTGGGACGGTTTTTGGTGGAATTTTTTGATGAAATGTTTTGAGCATTTTATTCATTAAGTCTAGTTTACTCATACCAAATTTCAGCTAAAACTTCAATTGGGAAGGCATTCAAATTAGTTCTTGAAGATAAATGCGCAGTTAAAAGAGCAGTTATCTTCAAGAATTAATTTGAATGTCTTCCCGATTGAATTTTTAACTGAAATTTGGTATGAGTGAACTCGACTTAATGAATAAGATGCTCAAAAAATTCATCAAAAAGTTCCACCGTAAACCGCCTCAAATGGCGACGACCGGACAACGCCTCCTATATAAGGCCTTATTTGACCTTTTTATGCAAGTTCGAGGACCTATCTCACCCTTTTCTCTATGTTTTTATTTGAAATCTAAACTTTAAAATGTTGTCATGGTCACGAGCTCTCCGTATTGTTCTTTTATTTACTAACCTTTATAATTGTTACATTTATAATTTCTTTGATAATTAATCTATATATTTTTATTATTTACTGTATTCTATCTATTATGTCCTATAATTTTCAAACTTTTATACTATTGTACATTTGTACACATATATATCTGCATATTTATGTCCCTGTAACATAGGCCAAAAGCATTAATGTCTATAGCCCCACCGTGACCTTAATATTGTGAAACAGGAGCACCCCCTGCAGGTCTCGGCCCGGACTGGCTGGAATTAGACCTGCACAATTCCGGGCCGGGCCGCCCGGCCCGCCCGGCCTGCCCATATAAATGGGCGGGTTTGGACACATGCTTTAGCCCACCGGGCCGGGCCGGGCCCGGCCCGTTTAAAATATGGGCGGGCTTGGGTTGTAATATAGGCCCGGTCGGGCCTAAAAGCCCGGCCCGTAAACATATTTTATATATTATATTATATATATTATTCTATATATAATTATACATTATATGACTATACATATAAAACTTAAAATACTTGGAAGTATAATTTCATTACCATGTCATTATTCACAAGTGTCATTATTTTCCATTATTTTAACTTGTAAGGTTCCACAAGTATGTTCAAGATTGGTGATGGACGTTCGAATGATAACGAGGATGAAGAAGATGAAATGCTACTCTAGTGTAAGACAATGTTTCTCTTTCACAGACGGTAAGATTCAGAAATCACAATATAGTAGTTTTCATTATCTCAATGTTTTTACTTGGTTTATAAATAATATTTGGTTTTGATTATTTGATATTTATTGGCACTTGGCAGAGCAGTCTGGGAGATCAATTACTTTCTGGTGAAATGAAGGAGTGTCGAGAAGTTCTTGGAATCTTGGGATACCAATTACTTTTTGTGTTCTACTATTTAAATTTGAACTGTAATGATATACATTTGTTAAGTCTTTTTGAAGATAATCTTGACTATTTCCACTGCACATTGTGAATCCATGATTGTGCTTTTAATTATGGAATATGGATGCTTATTTGGAATTTGGATGCTTTTTATTTTCCAGAATCGTTTTGTGTTTTGCATTTAAACGTATTCTTGTGTTCAAAATGTGTTGTGAGTACATTAATTATTTAATTGCATTTAAAATGTTGTGATGTTATTTTATAAATATTTTCATTTTTTTAACAAAGTTGACAAAAGGATATTTTTCGGGCCTAAAAGCCCGGTGGGCAGCCCAGCCCGCTCTCATGGGCGGGCTTGGACATATGAGGAGGCCCGTTTTACCGGGCCTGGCCGGGCCCGCCCACTACAAGTGGGCAGATTTTTTAGAATAAGCCCGGCCCGAGCTCGGCCCGAGCCCATGTTTGTGCAGGTCTAGCTGGAATGCACCGTAGAAGCTGGTGGTGCGTAGTACTGCTGCGGCCCGTGTCTTCCGCCTCTGCCGCGACCTCTGCCACCTCTGCCGCGACTGCCGCGGCCGCGTGGCGCTGAAGGACCCGACTGCCCAGTGCCCAATGGAGCAGCAAACGCTTGGTGAGGGGAAGAATAGTCTTGTTGTTGATGCAAAACAGTCTGCTCAGCCTCCATGAGGCGTGGGTGAAGGATGTCGGGTGGAAAGCTATCAGGAAACAATGAGATAGTGCCCGTAACAAACTGATATTCAGGGCCAAGTCCCTGTAGTGTGCTTTGTAATAATTCTTTCTCAGTCACAGGGGAATTAATTGCTGCTAAAGCATCAGCCAGACTTTTAATATCACGTAAGTAGTGATCCATGGATTGATTAGATTTCTTTTTGATATTAGATAATAAGCGTTTAAGCTCCATAGCTCTAGGTAAACTGGCAGACATAAAGCGTGACTGTAAACGCTCCCATATACCCATTGAATGTTTAATATCATGAACATCCGTTAATACTTCACGAGATAAAGTAGCAAACAACCAGGAACGAATTGTTTGATCTACTCGAAGCCAACGATAATAGTCAGTATTCACGATTCGATGATTATTAAAATCCAGAGTGTATAAGGGAGGTACCGGAATAGAGCCATCTAACATACCAAAAAGACCATGTGACACCAAGAATGATTCGAATTGAGTGCGCCATGTAAGATAATCTTCAACTGCTTTGAGTTTGATGGTAACAATCTGGCCGACGTTTGCAATTCCATGAGAAACAGCCTGCACCAAGGCTGCCATTGGAGTGCCGAAGAGAGGGTTGTCATTCTGGGGTCGGACAACTCCTGGAAAACCAGCGAACGAAGGGCCAAAATAGGGAGAAGCTGGTGGCGGCGTGGGGCGTGGGCTGGCCGGTGGCAGAAGAGGGCGACTCGGCTGCCATGGGAATTGCGGTGGCAAGGGGTTGAAGAGGGAGTATGGCAGTGGCGCAGTATACGGTGGGAACGGATATGCGGCCATATATTCGGTCGTCGGCGGTGGCATGGTGAAGCTGCCAACCGGACGTGAGATCGCCGCCTGGGGTTGCGGCTGGGAGACGACATGGTGAGCGGGGGAGGAGAAGTCCGATGCCGAGGTGCCGATGTCCGCCGTGGAGAACGGCGGTGGCGGCGGTGTATTTGGAGAAGTCGGCGGCGCCGTGGTGGAGAATTCGGAGGTCATGGCGGCGACTTAGATCGAAAAGAAAATTAGGGTTTTCTTTGGGCTACTGATACCATGTGAAATGATGGGAAAGGTTACTCCAATAGGAGTCCTGGCATGTATATTTATAGTAGTAGAGTTCTAAACATACAAGGAAACAAATCTGCCTAATTAATATTCTATTAAATATACCATAAGAATTAAGAACTTCAAGAACTTTAGGAGACCATTTGTGAATACCCAAATTGGCTGGCCTATTTGGTAACGGCTGCAACAGCTGGAATGATTAAAAAGCCTGAATTTGCTAAAGTGAAAGTGTTTGATAATATATTAGCTGAAATAGCTGATTGAATGTAGAATTACCATAACAGGTATTAGCTTATTTGTATTAAATATATGGATAGGAACTTTGCTAGCAAATTATTTTTGCATGATTAGCAGATTAGGTGATAATTATGACTGATTAATTAATTAATTAACTAATTACTTTGGAACTAACTGATTAAATAATTGCTCTTACCACTAATTATTTGTTCGAATGAAAGAGTTGGCTATTAAAAATTAAAATAGTAACACTAAATAATAGTATGTCCTTGTGTCTTTTTGCACTCAATAGCTATTCATAGACAAGTAATTTTATCAAACATTGATTTACAATTACCGTACCTCATCAGTCATTCAAAACATTTAATACAAAAGACATTGACAAACAACTGACACGACCAACTCATAGCTATTTGCCAAACAAGGCCCTAATGTCACATGTGCATAAGATGGAACGCGGACAAAGCTCACTACACCTTCAATGCTTGAGGTGCACAGCTTTTTGAGTGAGACCTTTTTATTTTCTGGCAGTCCATACAACACTAGTTGCATCGCCTTTCACGAAGAGTGTAATAGTCGTTATGGAGCTTAGGAAAAAGTGAAGTAACCATGGTACACTTTTGGATGAAATCATGAAGCTGCGACTTTTATCTAATATATACTCCTTACGTTCATTAAAACTCAATATCACAGGTCCAATTTTTTCAAAGCACACATGTTGGTCAGATTACTGGGTTTCTTCACTTGACTTTCACCATCACTCAACAGACAACCCCCAAGTACACAAGAGAGTTAACCCAATGATACAACAACATGTTGGTACACGTTTATTTGAATAAGACCTTCGCAGCCTTACTAAACAGGTTTTGCACCTGCAGTCAGAGTCAAACACAAGCTGTGTAAGATCAAGAATCATTTTATACAGAACTCGAGATCGATAGGAAACTAACATTTTACCTGTTTTGATGAAAGTCCCAACTTCTCCAAATCATTAAGCTGCAAGAGAACAGATCAGAAGGCAATAAATTCAATAAGCGTGATACTTTCAAGTCTTCTGTTAAGGGTAAAGGGTATTTGTTGTGAAAGAGGAGGTTCTTACCGATTTCAAAGGATTGTCTTGCCTTAGCTGAATTATATAGTCAGCGAACTTCTCTCCTATACCCTAATGATTTTTTTAAGTAAAGACCCTCAAGTTATTTACAAGAAAACTAAACAATTATCCATTACTTGCGTAATTTAGATAATTTTGCTTACCCTTATCTCCATCAATTCTTCCCTGCCAAAAAAGTGTGGAATTTTTTATGTCTCTTAGCACAAATAAGGCATAAAAAATCGCATGCAAAAAGATAATTACCTGTTAGCTTTGTTCAAAAACTCAATATATTCCTCAGCAAGAGAGCTCTGCATAATGATACATCAGGCATCAAAAAAATTATTATGGAAAAAACATATGTTCATGACAATAGGGTTTGATGCATACCTTAAGGTTTAAACTCTGCGCATTAAATTTCTCGAGTGGTGTTCCAAGCACTTGACATGTATTATCAACATTGTTCTCAGAATCTGAGAGGAACACACATCCCTTATTGGCTGAAGCACTCTCAATGTTAATGTTGGTGTTAATCGGAAAAAGGGGGTTCATGAGTGGACTTTGAAATGCAATAATTTTCTTAAAAGATGGTGATGATCTTAAGGGGTTCACTGTTTCAGCATGTGCATTATCCATACCCCTCACCACCTGATCATCTACACAAAACTCTGAGTTAATAGGGTAAAAGAGGAGAAAAAAATACTTAAACATGGAGCAGAAAGCTACAAGAACAAGATTTACAATCATTACAATTTTGGTCTCTTTCTTCTGAATCTTCAAGCTTCTTTTCTGTATTCCCTCTGCCGTCAACAAGGTTTGGTGCCTGCTTTCAGAGGTTCATCAGTTGTGTCTCTCAGGGTGGAACCAGCTTTAATAGGAGAAAGTCTAGCAATTTGGACAGATAATGGAGCCCTAATATACTCATAAAAGTCAATGCCCTTGTAGATAGCCCCACATACTACTATGATTCATCAGAATTTGACAAACCTCTACTTACTACCACGTGTTAGAAGGATTTTGTCAAATCAACATCAAATAGAGTATAAACTTGGATGAAATAACCTTGAAGGCTAATACACTTTTCAACTTGTCCAGCTATAAATTGCTCACCTCAATAGCTGAGATAAAACGATTTCCACAACAAAATAAGCTTCTACAAGCAAATTCATGAGCCCTGCAAAAGGAAATAAAGTAAATAGTGATTGATTATTGATAGTGAAAAGCTGAAGTTGCATAATCAGCTAATACATGCATACCCTTACCCCCGCTTTAAACGTGAAGCACCATGGTTGCTAAACAGTTTTGCTTTAGATGAACTTGGATATGCATCAGCCCATTTTAGTGAGCGTAGTGAATTTGGAGTCAACGGAGATTCAAACACCTTTGACTTCTGTGCACTTTTTTTCTTGCCTTTGGATTCAAGCCAAGCATGGAGCTTAGCTTCCATATCAACTTTAACTTTTGGAGTTTCATTTCTAGATGAAGTTAGAGAATTAGAGATGTGCCTTGACCTTGCCGCTAAACTGACTGTATGAAGAGATTCCTCATACTCTCCTGGGTTCTAGTAGGTGATTAAAAGAAAGCAAATTTGAAAATTTTAGTAAAATTCTTAAGTTCATATTGAATATTCAGAACATTTAAACAGATATGGAGTATATACAATCAAAAGAGAACTCATTACCAAACAAGTAACAACCAAAACAGGACTTGTTCCTCCAAGAGAATCCTGCAGTACACGTGTCAATTTGCTATCTCTAAAAGGTACTCGCATTTGGTTGTTATTCAATGCATAGATGACATTAGACAATGCAAAAAGAGACATGTTTATCTTGGCGCTCTCGTGGAGGCGAACTCCCTCGTTGCAAGTTCTCCTGTTGTCTTCGTTTCCTAGTTAGATCATATAACAGTAGACTGCATGTCAATTACCTAGTGCATAAAAAATGGATGCAACCAATCATGCTTATAGTGCTGCTAATCATCTGAAACACCTGCTAAATCAATGAGATTAATCTTCCCGGCGATAACATTTCCTGATTTTTCATGACAAGGTGTGTACACAGAAATGACAAGCACAGCATGGCTTCGGCTAGAGAGATCATTAACACTAGTATGGGCAACTTTTCTTCTCTGGATTGCAGCAAGAAAAATATCATTAAAACCTGCCATTGAGTTAACTTCAACTTCTGCAAGTCCCTTAAGATGAACATTCCCATCTTTATCATCCAACACAGCAATTTCCTTATTTTTCAACTCTAGCAAATCATAGCATTTGTCCATGTAAATCTCATAGTAAGAGATGGACACAGTAGTACCAGTGCTTTGACAAATGGAAAGAATTGATGACATTGAAAGTGGGATTAGACCAGGTGTCTCCGCACTTCCCTGTACAAAAAAGAGAACGGAAGTCGTGCATTTTACTATGAGCTATGTACATATACGTGAGTTGTATCATAGAAGGTTGACATAGAATGAAGTGGACGTTAGTCGGTGTTTAGTAAGTTTATATATATTGGTATGTTATATCATATTTACCGCTTTGAGGCAATATCTTGAACAATCATCTCGTGACCAAACATATAGTCGGAATCATGTATATATTGATTAGTGCTTTTAATAGGTTCATGACTAGTCATAGTCTTCAATTGTTCGGTAGTTAGTTAGTAATAATTGTAGCCAATTTTTCTTTTTTCAGAGTAGCCCATATCATAAAAGGAGGCTAGCTCGATAGTAAGTAGCTCAAATTCTTGTATGGTAGTTTGTTGTTTAATATTTAGCAGATATGGGGTAATATACTCAACAAATGCCCCTCTTTCAAGGGTGATGCTTGATTTGCATGCTTGTGGCACTATGGAGTGACAAACAGACACCAAATGCAATTTGAAAATATGGAAAAACATTAAAGGATACATATATGTTAACAACTTCAAGAGGAACCTTTTGTGCTACACAATGGTAACTCACTCATTAAACATCATTTCACTCATGGAACTAGACTAAATTTGAGCTTAAAGAAATGAAAGAAAGAAAAATGATACCTGCATGGTGTAGGTTTTTCCACTCCCAGATGCCCCATATGCAAATACGGTTGCATTGTAGCCACGGAAAATCCCGGAGATCAAAGGGCTAACCTCTTTGTGAAAAATTTGACTGACATTGTTGACTTCATGTCCAAAAAAATCGTCCAGCTTGTAGTATTCGTTTCGGCTGGTCACAAGCAGCATGATTTCAAGTATTTCAGAATTTTACAAGTTCGAATAAAATAAAAACACGTACTCTCTCAAAATTTTAATACACTTGAATCCAAAGATCAGAAGTACCTAGTTTCATTGTCTTTGAGATAAACAGTGACTTCATCTGATGTTTCAAAACCAGAGTGAAGGATGGACACACAAGAGACTGGGGGACTCCCGTTTCTGGCTGAGATTTCTTCAAAAAGGAAGGGGCGAACTCTTACTATAACTTTCACCTTAGCGGTTAAGTTAGAGTGTGACTCTGTACGACTTTCCGGAGAGGAAATACTTTCCAATTGGGAGGCCTCAATTATACCTGAATCTTTGGCCATTATACCACCAGTTTTAACTTCCTGAAATCCAGGGTCACGACTTTAAGCGCACAACTCACATTCTTAAATGATACCAAACATGAATAAAAAATGAACACCTAAGAGTCAAATTAATGATGCAGAAGTTGAAGTTAACTTCTAAATACTACCTCCGTCCCAATGGACTTTGCCAAGTGCAAAGTGGGTGAAAAATAAGAATAGTAAAAATTGTGTAGTTGAGATTTGTGCAGAGGAGAGAGAAATGTGCAGAACCACAAATTAATTGCTTTAATAGGAAAGTGACAAAGTTTTTTGGGCCAACCAAAAAAGGAAAGTTGTCAAAGTCAAAAGGGACGGAGGGAGTATGTGCTAACATAAAACTAAATGGCGGGTTTTAAAACTTCTTCCATATAAACCATTCAATCTAAATATACGCAATAGTTTTTTTCCTATTGTGTGCTAAATCTCAGTCCAACCATAATTAGGATGTTTTTATTTGGACTTATTTCAGTTACACATTCAACTAAAACCTACTAGATCAGACTTATACCAGTCTAATCAGACCAAACTTAAATAAATTAGAACAGAGCAGGCTTCAACTGTTGTAAAATACACCTAAACCAGACATCTACCGGACTATACCGGACCATATGAGACTTGACTTAAACAATTCAGACCAAATTAATACACAGAAGACCGGACCAAATTTCAGTCGGCACTCCTCTTGTAAGTTTAAATTTTTAAGTGAAAACTCAAATCTTAATAGAAGAAGAAATATTTCTATACTTCTAATCAATCAGCAAAGAGTGAGAATCACGACTGTAATAATGAAACGAAAAGAATTGCACGGAAATTAATAACAAAGAATATCACACATACTCCAACGAACAAGCTAATGCAAAGCAAGCGTCTACCTTTTGAGTGAAGCAGAGGATTCCGTGAATGGATTGTGTTACTCAAGATGCGGCGATCGATTTAGCTCCGGACCAGTAGAACTCGCCCACACACTGAATGACAGAAGGTTCGGGATGATAGTGTTAGTCTGAGACTCTGAGTGAGAGAGGGATAAAGTTGCGACACTGCGAATTCAAATTTTCCAGATGCCGTTTAATTCGAATGGAGAATTCCAGCACTTGGGCTTTTATTTAAATGAGAACAATTAATACCAGCCCTTAGATTTACATCTTAAATTACTTTGCCCTTAAACGATTACTATCCAGCGCACATTGATTTCTCTCCCCCTCAACCATTCACGCACCAAAAGCTCTTTGTCGTGAAAATCACAGCTGTGTTTCCTACACCTTGATACAGGAGTTAGGCCGTTAGTATGTTAGATAACAATAATATGACGTGTCATTTAGTTAAATGGTTATATAAGCTTATCATGTACTCCCTCCGTCCCGGAATTATCTTCATTCTTTCCTTTTCGATCCGTCCCAAATTTATCTCCATTTTCCCTTTTTGGTAAAGAATATGTGATTCACAACCATTCTTACACATTTCTCTCTCCTCTGCATAACTCTCCACCACACAAATCTCATTATCTTAAAACCCGTGCCCGGTCAAAACCAGAGTTAAATATGGGACGGAGGGAGTATTCATTTTCTTTACGTTGAAAGTAATAAACGACTTTTCCCTCTTCTTTCTATTTTCTCTCTTTGTATGGAAGCTACGAGTTCTCGCCATTCTTTCCCATAATTCTCGTAGAGTGGCCTGGACCGTAACATTGGTATCAAAGCTTTGATCCATTGGAGCAATACGCAGTAGAAGGAACGCATGGTACATACACGCAGTTCAGTTACCGAAATGGAGGAGATGTTTGGTACATACATGCAGTTCAGTTACCGAAATGGAGGAGACGTTTGGTACATACACGCATGGTACATACACGCAGTTCAGTTACCGGTAAATGTTCCCCGGCATTTACCCCACTGATTTTGGTAGTTTGCCTTCTGGGTTAAAAAAATGGAGGAGACGTTGAAGGCAATGCAGATGGAGTTTGATCTAAAATTGGAAAACCAGAACAAGTCTCTAATGGACATTGTTGGCAAGTTGATGAAGAAGATGGTGGAATTGCAGAAAAATAAACAACCGGAGACACATACACATAAGGATCCTGATGGAGATGAGTCGGAAAAGCTTATTCTACGGAAGAGGACGACGATGAGATATCTGGCTCACATTCAGGTAATCAGACATTCAAATTTCTTCCGAGAGTGGAATTTCCATCATTCGAAGGCCAGAGTGTAAAAGTCTGGATTCAGAAATGTGAGAGGTACTTTCTATTGTGAAAAATACCTGATTCTCAGAAGGTCAATCTAGCATCATTATATTTGGAGGGACATGCAGTGAGCTGGTTTGGTAACTACGTGGTGACTAGAAAAAAATTGAAATGGAACAAATTTTGTTATGATATTCAGGCTCGATTTAATAATCAAAGCAGTAATAAAGTAGTAGAGAAGTTTAATGGATTGAAACATACAGGATCTATTGAAAACTTCGTTGATGAATTTGAGACACTTAAAGCACAAATGATGAAGAGAAATACAAAACTACCTGGATTGTTTTTTAGCTGAACTGAAACCTACTGTGAAATCTTTTGTGCAAGCATTCAATCCTAGTTCTATCACTGAAGCAATTAAGTTGGCTAGACTACAGGAAGACACTGTGGATGCTTTAAGCACTCAAAACAAGGTGACAGTTTCGAAACCAAATGCCAATAAACCTTTGTTACATACGCCACTAGGTGCAGGGAATAAGTCATTATTCAATACTCAAAAACAAGTTGTCGATACGAGTATTACTGCACCTAGAAAGTTTGTTTCAGCTGCTGAGAGAGATGAGAAGAGGGCTAAGGGCTTATGTTACTATTGTGAGCAACCTTATAGTAGGGAGCATGTATGTAGTCACAAAGGATCTCAACTCTTCTTAGTAGAGATTCTAGGGACAGAAAGTGGGGAAGATATGGATGCTGGCAGTAGTAAGATGGAGAATGAGTGTGATAAGGGACATGCGGAAGAGCCTCTTATTTCATTCCATACCTTGCATGGCTTCACTAACTATAGTACTATGAGGGTTAATGGATATATAGATAAGAAGAAGATACTTATCTTGGTGGACTCAAGTAGTACTCACAATTTTTGAGCTACAACATAGCCAAGAAGTTGGGATGCAGATTGGAGAGCATTGATCCCTTGTCAGTGATGGTAGCAGATGGAGCTCACACTGAGTGCAAATATGTTTGTAAAGGAGTAAGATGGATGGAAAATGCAGAATACTTACTTCCAAAGTGAGTTGTTGTTACTCCTTTTGACAGGTTATGATATGGTGCTAGGGGTTCAATGGCTCACTAGGCTCAGTACTTTGGGGCAAATATCATAAAAGGTTGTACTGAGTATCTCAAAAACTTGACCGCTATTTTTCTGCAAGTGTACAGATCGGTCGTAGTAAAACCTAGAGTATTCTAGGGTCGATCCCACGAGGAGTGCAAATTGAACTTTAATGGTTTAAGTTTCTATCAACCAAAGTAAAAAATGATTTTGGATTGATTTAATAAAATAAAAACAGGAATTAAAAATATAATTAAGAATAAATCAAGTAAACAATAGATAAAATGGCCCTCGGAATTCGGGTTATACACTTGATATTAAAAGAAAATCTAAGTGTTGGTTCAAGCAATTAAAGTGACAATTGGTTCTAAAATATGCTAATACTCCGTCGAGATATTAGCGTTCGTCGGTTAAGTTAGTGTTAATCCGTCAATTAAACGCTAAACTTAACTAGTCGAAAAGAGACAATTGAAATTCACCACAATTCCCTAAGTATGTCTAGTTAGGTGAATCATGTTTATTTTATGGGCTCAAGTATCGTGCTTCACCCGTCAGTGCATCACACGATTCCTAACAAGAATTAAGCATGAACTCAATGCAAAATTCATTAATGAAATTCATAAAATAAATTTAATTGGGAAAATAATTTGTCGATTACAATGGAAGAATCAAACACAACAAGAGATAATCACTTAATATCAAGCTTTATTCCCGAATCCCTTGGGTAAAATTCTAGCAAAAAATCATACTCAAAGTAGGGAAGAATTCACTTTTCAATAGCATAAACATGGAAGTAAAAGTTCTGAATTTGAAATACAAGAACTAGAAATTCTGAAATTAAACTAACTAATTAATAGAGAATGAAAAACTCAAGATATGGATGAAGAAGCGGCTGAATTCCTCTTTCTTTCTCTCCTGTTTTCACCTCCGTTCTCTCTCCAATCTCGCTGCCCTGCTGTGCTTTTAAAGGACGAATAGGGCAGATTCTTAGGCCTTCAAATTTGGGAAGTCAATCCCCAACGGCTACACAATTAATTTCGATCAAGGCTGAAATTCCGTTGGTCAGAGAAGGAACACACAAGGTGTTCAAGGCTTGAGGTTGAAATTTCCAATTCTATTCTTAGGGAGATGGTATACGGCTCAACTAGATAGCTAAGGTGCTGATTTGAAGATTTTTTTCCTTTCAACTATCCACTTCTTGCAAATTGGCCCCAAGTAGGGGTGGGCACGGGACGGGACAGGACGGGAATTAGACTATCCCGGTATTGAACCCGATTTAGGATAACGGGACAGAATGGAACGGGACAAGACGTTGTCTCTCTATTGTCCCTTTTAAATCGGTACCGGAACAGAACGGGACGGTTCGGGACATCCCAAAAAAATTACAACGAAAAAAATACAACTCCAAAAACAAACTCATGACAAAAAACTACAACACTAAAAATGCAACACATAAAAAAATCTGTGATAAATGCAACACAAAAAACAGTAGATTAATAGGATAGTTGCATGAAACAAACTGTAACAACAACAATAACTCCAACACACACAATACTACTAAGAAATTGCAAAAATAAAAAAGACAAACAATATTATTAGAAGTGAAACATGTGGAGTATACATGAGTTTCTTTTTAATATGTAGAAGATAGTTCATACTTATTAATTTAGACTCCTTTATGTGTTTTACATACGTAGTATTAGATAACTAATATCTAATTAATATTCATTAGTATTTGAATTGATGGTAGACACACTAACCCACAACTATATACAATTTTGAATTCGGGACAACGGAACGGAACGGGACATATTTTATTTGTCCCGATCCCGTTTTGTTTTGAAACGGTTCGGGACGGGAACGGGACAAAAATAGTTTGTCCTAAATTTAACAGGACGATTTCGGAACGGAACCGGAACGTTCCGGAACGGACCAATGGGACCGGGTCTTTTGCCCACCCCTAGCCCCAATAGTTAAAATTCCTTACCTAATAAAAAAATATATAAAGCACAAATTTTCCCAAAAGTGATATAAAATAGGCCCAAAACAATACTCGGTATGATAAATTATTAGAATTAAACTGTGGAGGTATTGGCCCCACGGGCCAAGGCAGCCCTCTCCTCTTGTATTGGGCTTGTTTCGTACCTCTGCCCTGGCCCATGTTGTTCTGCCGCTAGCCCTTCTTCTGGAACCCTCTTTTAGGGCTTCCCCTATTTGCCCGGGTACTTAAACTCCTCTACGCCTTTTTGGTTGAAGTAGAGGTCTTCGGTTAGAGAGAGAGTGAGGTTAAGAGAGATTGAGAGAGAGAGACTTCCGTCTCTTCTCCATTCCGGTCCCTCTGTGGTATTCTCTCTGTGCCTCCCCTTTTCTGACCTTTGGCGTGCGTTGAGATGGCTGGGCTGGTCTGAGTGTTCTTGTCCCTTCCGGTGGTGCTTTGGTGTGTGTGCTGTATGAGCGTGGTCTGAGCTGGAGAGGTGAAAACCTGACAGTGGTATCAGAGCCGGAACTCCTGTCGTCCTCGCCTACAGCCCGGGAGCTCCTCCGCCGCCATCCGCCGCAGATCTCTGTCTCAGTGGTAAGTCGAGAAGCCCATCCTCGGGTTCTCGCTCAGGTAAATTGGCGATAAACACCCTAGGTTGCCGGGTGCCTCCGGTTTTATGTGATTCTTTGGTGTTTTACTTGTTTCATCCCCTTTCCCCACTTTGCTCTTGCTGCTGACCGTGTTGGTCTGGCTATCAGTTTGTAACTGATATTCCCCAGGTGCGTTCTCTTTACCTTCGTGTGTGAAGTGGTCTGCATGAGTGTTTTGTGTTTGCGGGATTGAGTTGTTTGATCTGGTATTCTGCTTTTCTGTCTCATTTACGTGTTTATCTCTACTTTACTGTTTTTTGTGCCTTCTTGGTATCCTTGTGAACTGGGTTTTTTGCCTCTGTGACTCGGCACCTGAGGTTAGGACTGACAGGTTCCCTGCCAGTCACTCAAGTGGCCCTCGGATCTGTGTGGCCTGTCAGCCCGCAGCCGGGTACACTGGTGAACCCTAGCTCCTTGGTTCTCTGTCTCTTTGTTTGCTATCTTTCATTTACCTTGTCTTCTGCCACTGATTCTTCAGCGTTATCCTTTTTGTGTTCCTTATCATGTTTGCCAATATGTATGGTATGTTACCTTTTAATGGAAAAACCGATTTTGACATTTGGAAACAAAAGATCAAATGTGTTTTAATCCAGCAAAAGGTTTTCAGAGCTGTAAGTGAACTTTATTTGGATTCTGATGATAGTGCTAAGATAGCTGAAATGAATGAAACTGCCTGCTCTACTATATATCTTAACCTATCTGACTCTGTGCTTAGAAAGGTTGGTATTTTGGATTCTGCTAAAAAGTTGTGGGATAAGTTAGATGATCTTTATACCGATACTTCTCTGCCTGGTAAACTGTTTTTGCTTGAAAAATTCTTTCGGTTTAGGCTAGACCTAACCAAAGACATTGATGAAAACTTGGATATTTTTAATAAGTTGATCCAGAACATTAAACAATCTGGTGATAAACATATTGATGATTATACTGCTGTTGTGTTGCTTAATGCTATTCCTGATTCATATAATGATGTTAAATCTGCTATTAAATATGGTAGAGATGATGTCACTCTTGATATTGTTGTGAATGGTCTTAAGAGTAAGGAACTTGACCTTAAACATAATAGGAGTATCTCTAGTCAATCCAAGGATTCTGGTGAGGCTATGTTTGTGAGGGGTAGATCTAAGAGTAGGTCTAAGAATCAGAAACAGGATGCCCAAGCTAAAAATAGTAACCCGAATGGTAAGAAGAGGAATAAGTCTAGAAAGCGTGTGTGCTACAACTGTGGCAATTCTAGCCACTTTATAAAGGACTGTCCCCATCCTAAGAAACCTGAACAGGCTAGTGTAGCTATAGAGAGAGATGACCTTGGTGAGGTTCTCATGGTGTGTGACCATGTTAATTCTGTTCGTAATACCTTGACTGAGCATGAATGGCTAATTGATTCTGGTTGTACCTATCATATGACTCCTTTTAGGGATTTGTTTTCTAAGTATGAGAATTGTGATATGGGTTATGTTTCCTTGGCTGATAATAAGAGATGCAATGTTTTGGGTGTTGGTGATATATGTCTCAAATTTTCTTGTGGCTCTGTGTTTACTCTTAAGAATGTGAGGCATGTCCCTGATTTGTGTCATAACTTACTATCTGTTGCTGCCTTGGAGGGTAGTGGTCTAGAGGGAAAGTGGGGGAATGGGAGTATGAAAATTTTGAAAAATTCTCTGGTGTTGTTTAAAGCTGAAAAGGTGAACAACCTTTATGTGTGTCATGCTAAACCTTATATTGACTCTGTGAATGCTGTGAATGTTGTGCATACTGATAAAACCTTGTTGTGGCATAATAGACTAGGGCATATGAGTAATAAAGGTTTAGGGATCATGCACAAACATGGTTACCTTGGTAAAGACTCTGTGAACTCTTTGACTTTCTGTGAATCATGTGTGCTTGGTAAACAACATAGAGTCCAGTTCCCTCTATCCTCTTACCCTAATATGACTAAGTGCTCCTCTGTGCTTGAATATGTGCATGCTGATGTTTGGGGTCCTGCTAGTATTCCTACACATGGGGGGAAACGGTATTTCTTGTCCTTAATTGATGATTTCTCTAGGAAAGTGTGGGTTTATCTTCTAGAACATAAGTCTGATGTTTGTGGAAGTTACTTGTAGAAAATCACATTAGACAGAATGTTAAGACCCTTAGGACTGATAATGGCCTAGAGTTCTGTAACCAAGAGCTTGACCAACTGTGTGCCACTTCAGGCATTAGGAGACATAAGACTGTGCCCTACACACCCCAACAGAATGGGGTGGCTGAAAGGATGAATAGAACCCTTCTTGACAAGGTTAGGAGTATGTTGTCTACCTCAGGTTTACCTAAGAAGTTTTGGGGTGAAGCAGTCACCACTGCCACCTATCTGATTAATAGATCTCCCTCTGTTCCCATAGGGGGTCAATGCCCTGAAGTTAAGTTTACTGGTGGGCCTCTTGACCTAACAAACCTTAGGGTCTTTGGGTGTGCTGCCTATGTTCATCAGAAAACTGATAAGTTAGATCCTAGATCCAAAAAGTGTGTGTTCTTGGGTTATCCTGATGGGGTAAAGGGATATAGGTTGTGGGATAGAAGTGTGCCTGGTTTTAAGGTGGTTATAAGTAGGGATGTAATTTTTAATGAATTTGATTTCCCTTGCTTGCTTAAACCTGTTTCTGAGCATGAGCCTGAGAGGACACCTGTTGAGGTGGAGCCTCAGACTCCTTCTGTACCTATTATTCCTGTTGTTATGTATGACACTCCTCCTGTTGTTCCTGTCATCCCTTCTGTTGTGCATGTTAATACTTCTTCTGACACTGCTACCTCCGGTGAGGTGGAGTTCAACACTCAAGATGACCATGTGAAAAATGATTCTCTGTCTGGTGAGACTACTGTGTTTGATGATTCTGCTGAGAATGATAATGTTGATTTGCATGACTACCAACTTGTTAGGGATAGGGGTAGGAGAACCATTAAGAGAAAATCTGATACTTTGTCTGATTATGCTTTTACTGCGTGTGATATATCTGATTTTTCTTTTACTGTGTTTGAGACCCTAGACCTAAATGAACCTAAGACCTATAGTGAAGCTATAAGGTCCAGAGAGGCTCAGAAATGGCTTGAGGCCATGAAAAGTGAGATGGACTCTCTAAGAGTGAACCAGACTTGGACCCTTGTTCCTAGACCTAATGCCAGCTCAGTGGTTGAGTGCAAATGGCTGTTTAAGGTCAAGGAAGAACCGGGTAATAACATTAGGTATAAGGCCAGGTTAGTTGCCAAGGGGTTTACTCAAAAAGAGGGGGTAGATTATGCAGAAATCTTTGCTCCTGTAGTTAAGTTTACTACTGTTAGAATCATGTTGGCTTTGGTTGCTCACCATGACTGGGAGATGAAACAAATGGATGTCACCACTGCATTTCTGCATGGTGAATTGGATAAGAAAATTTACATGACTCAACCTGAGGGCTTTGTGGATCCCAAGAGGAGTGACCATGTATGTCTGCTTAGGAAGGCCTTGTATGGCCTGAAGCAATCCCCTAGGCAGTGGAATATTAGGTTTGACAAGTGTATGCAGTCTATGAAATTTGTGAAATCTGCCTGTGATCATTGTCTTTATTTCAAGA